AACTTACTGGCTATGCTCCTGTAGATACAGCTCAGAATGTTCTTAACTTTCTTTGGTACCAGGGCACACTGCTGGCTCACATTCAGTTTCTTATCTACCCAGATCCAAAGGTCCTTTTCAGCAGAGACATTTCTCAGTCAACCAGTCTCAGCCTGTATTGTTGCAAGGGGTCACTCCTTCCAAAGTAAAGACCTTTGCACTTGTCCTTCTGGAATTCACAAGGCTCCGACTGGCCTGTCTCCCCAGCTTGTCTAGGTCCTTCTGAATGGTAGCCCTGCACTCAGGCATGTAAACAGTTTCTGCCAAATTGTTGTCTTCTGCAAGCATGGTAAGTGTGCACTCCATCTCCTGCTCCAGGTCTTTGATAAAGATGTCAGAAGGACATGTCAGCCTCCAGAAAATAGCACGAGCCATTATCTATTAATAGTTAATGGATGGTCTAAGCCTGACTACCCAACAAATTTCTTACCTGTCTAGCTGTCCATTCATGTAGACCATGGTTAAATAAACCATTACATTGTCTGAATATCATCTTTCCCTCCCATTTTTTACCATCTTACAGAAATGTATGTGCAAGTTAGGTCCTTAGATTCTGCTACAGCTCTTTCACAAGTCATATCCTAATTAAAGATTGGCATTTTTTTCTGCAAAGGATACTGATGAAACAGGTCCTAAATCTCAAACAAACATAAGAAAATTTTCTCTACCATAAAGGAGGAGGAGTACTTTTTTTTGCCTCTCCTTTTTTCCTTTTAAGAAAGAAAGGAAAGAACACTATTTCAAAATGGTAAACAGATTAGGAAGTATCAGCTTTCCACCTGCAAACCAGAAGCCAAAAATCACAGAAGTGGAGAAGACATATCTTGAGGGTTTAATGGAGAAACACATGAGTTCTAGGAGGCAGCTAGACATTACATCTGTCATAGAAAACTGCACTATATAATTTCTGCCAAACTACTTTCAGTCTAATTCTTAATATGAACCTCTTTTCAAATAAATCTGTTTTGTGAGCTATGAAGATTTTATTGCAGCTTAGTAACAACCAATAATACATCAATGTAATAACCTGTTAGGCAGTAATAAGACACCATGGATATACAAGCTTACAATGTAAATGCAAAACAGCTAGATTCTGAAAAAAATGTGGGTACTTTTCCTGAACCAACAAAGTACACAAGGAGAAGTTCAGACTAAAGCATTGTAAAATGCCACACATGCTTCACCTGCTCTGCGATAATGTTCAGTACCTGGCAGGATCAAGGAAACTATCTTTCCAAACATCAGCAGACAAGTTGGATATTAAAAGGACTACAAGCACATTGTGAACCTGCTAGGAAATGAAAAGGAACTAAGAAAGAAGAAAACCAGCAATATTACCAAGTGCGAAAACACAAGAAGTTTGAGCTATTTAGATATTGCAAAGTGGTGAAAAGATAGCAGGTATAAATGATAAATTACCACTTGCAATGTCTAAGCTGAAGTCACTGGGCAACTAACTACAGTAATAATGATAAAGGTAGTAAGTATGACAAAATCAAAGACCTGTAAACAGGGCCATCTGATCCACTGCTTTAAGAGAAAAGAGGTCCAAACTTTTGCAATCATTTAGAATGTGAATAATACAGACATGGAAAACAAATGCAGGAAAAAATAGAGCACATTGCACAAATAGCCAAACTAGGTTTGATTACACTAAAGCTGGAAATCATGTTAATATGATTATACCACTTTCAGGATTTAAGGTACTGTTCCTGCATACCACTGTACTACGTTGTGTGTATGAATTCATTCCACTACTACTAACTGAAGGTTTTGAACCACCTGTTTTCTCAATGTTAACCAAAAAAAAGTCAAGGCTCACATATTTTCATATCTGTCTGAAATACTCTTTGCACTGAAGTCAACAATTCTAATCTCTTTCTCAACATAATACATTTCCAGCGAAAAAGCTAAGCAAAATTCATAAGACACGAAGAACTACACTAACAATACATGAAAACATATTTCTGAACGCATTTTTTGTTCACATACATACCCCAGTTCAGCAGCTTTTTTTTTCAGTAGAACATTTTCTTCAATTTGAACTTGACAAAGTTCCAGAAAAGTTCTTGATTCTGACCTTTTGATTCTTTCAGTTGTGGGTAAAGTGTGATAGTTTAAGATTTCACCATCAAGAAACTGTAAACTAGGAAGGACCTTACACAAGGAAGTCCTTAGAAAAGAAAGAAACATAATTAGTTTTACAAAAAAATCCTGATGCTAAAACTCCCATTTTATTGATACAATCATAAAACAAGTCAGAACAGGATGATAGTTCTCTAAGTATTTGTATAGATCTGTCCTTACTTCATATGCTTATGTATTAACTAAAACTTTACTCTTTAATAAACCACAGAACTTAGCAACATTTCTTAATTCTTTTTTGGTATAAAGACCACTGCTGAAATACTGACCCCAGGGAGGTCAATGGCAACATCCTCAATTCACTAGAGCTAGCATTTTACCTACTTAAACAATAACAGGAAAGTTTGACACATTTGTGCAGAGGCAGCTGTAATGCATTTGATTAGTAGGTAACACAGCAAACTAAGTCATAGGATTAAGATACAGCACTGATTTTGCTGACACATTGAAAGGCTGAAATTGAAAAACTGCATAGAATACTAAACATTGTCAGTCTTACTCCCTTTAGCATTTGGATATACCACATAAAGCAATATGATATTCAGTATGACTAACAGGAAAAAAATCCACTTTTGAAATATTGAACTTGGGTCAGTGAAAGGGATGACAGTAGAGATGACATTTCCTTGCTATGAAGAGGACAGTTGTGGCCACTGGTTTAAGAAAAAATATGTATGAGAAACTTACCTACTGATTTAAAAGAATAGTATCGTCAATGCTCTCTCTTTTAGGTTATTGTAAAATAATCTAGTACTGCAACCTTGTTTCATGTATTTCTTAGACCAGACCAAATTTGCTGAAAGTTTCAAGACTGCAAAATTATTTAAATCAATACATCTACACTCAGTACTTCCATTAAGTTAGTTTTAAGTAACATGTACGAACTCTTGAAAGAAAGTCACCTTACTATTAAAAAAGATAACACTGTTTTCAAAATTTTAGAACTCCCTGACTATTCTCTGTGAAGGTAAAGGACTATTACTCAGCTCAGATGATATACACTACATTTAAAATCAGAGAAAGTGTCTATGACTGAGTTAGAATATTCCCAAATATAGCTCCAGAGAATGGAATATTATTTTTTTGCAAATATAAAACTTTCCTTCTCTACTGCCCATTAATGTAAGAATTACACTGTCTGAAATACATTTGGAATAAAACGATGGGTTTAGATAGATGTTGAATAGTGATACATCAAAAAAGTGCCATATCAAAGTTGATTGATGCTGGAAGTATTGTGTCTTAGAGCTATGGGATCTCAACACTAGTTTTTCCAGCTGGTTTTCTCCTGGTGAAGGGCTGAGTCAATATTTCATTTAGTGAAAACTTCCTGGTGAATATTCTGTCACTTAAGAGGCTCTATTAATCATTACAGCATTGAAACACATTCCCCTAGGAGTGCTTAGACTGATCCAAGGATTTAATTTTTAAAAAACAATTTCTTACTACTTCACTTTTGTTGGTGTTATCGCTGGCTGGACATGAAAGTATGAAACCAATTGGGAAATTTTACAACTAATTCCTTTGTTGGTATCAAGGGGTTATGTAAAGTTCACTGAAACATATTGCCTGAAGTTACGGTCAATGCTGTATTCAGCAAATCCATATTTTATAGTATCCCATACTTTAAATCCTTTAGACAAATGAATCTCTTGTCTAATCATGAAAGCTCTATTGGGTCAAGCAATCTAAAGTGTCAGTTCTTACAGTTAAATTGGAATTCAGAAAGCTTTTCCCCTCCAGATTACAAGTGAAATAACAGTTAGTTCTATAAAATAGTGGGAATTAAAACAATGCAAGTGTGAATTTAAAATATTGTCACAGTCACTGAATTTTATTCACAAAATTACCTGCAGGAACCATGGGAGTGCAAATAAGTCTGCTCATTAAAAAACAAACCAACCAACCAAGAATGTATTTGTACAGCTATCTTTTAAACTACACAAACGTTTCCAACTAAAAATTTCAAATAGGGTTTTTTCCACTGGAATACTAATCAGAAATTTGTACAAAAATCTTCTAATGGAAGATACACATGTAAGGGTGGTTTTGTTTTTGTTTTTTCTCTTAGTAAAACACATACTCCAAAACACACATACCCCAAACTTTGCTGTCGTTATACTAGGCAATCTAATATAGCAAATGTGAACACAATTTATTTAAACATATTCTTGTGTAACATTGTAGTGTAAAGCTTCACCTTTAAATGACTTGCAATTATACAAGGCACAATTTTGGTTATTCTTCAAAATTGCTAAGCTTAAAAAAAAAAAATTTTTTTCTAATAAAAAAATCTCAGTCACCTGTTTTAATTACATCCAAAATGAAAGTTCAACTGTTGTGTCTCATTTCATTTCCTCAGACATTTTATTATGTCAACACTTTCCTAGATAAGTACTTGATTTCCTTAGCTGAAAGAATTGGTAATGATTTAAATTCTTACTGATTAAATGCTTCTTTGTACATTTAATGGAATTATAGTAAGAGTTCACTAAAAGACACTCTACTGTTTCAACACATGTATTCTGGAACATCACCTAAAGATCTGAAATTGCATTTCCAGCTTGTCATTCTGCTCTTGAAGGCCTGTAGACTAGAAAGTATTAATGCTAAGGAAGATGAAAGAACACTTCACATTAACAGCACTACTGTACTTTTGTTGAGCAATTCTCTCAGACAGCTTTAAGTTTTGATGGCATTGGCCCACATATGGGGTTTCAGACCACAGAATTCTCAAGAAACCAGGAGACTTCTACTAAAATACAAAAAAATATACAAAAAAACTATCCATGCACAATTTTATTCACATGGCTTACAAATACAATCCTATCACAACTACTCATTTCAGGGGTTCTGGTGACTGCATCTCATTTCATATGTCAAGTTTCCTTTCTACCCTATCCACTTTTTATATATACACATATAATAGTCTTTAGGACCAAATCTTTAATTTTTTTTCAGATTCTTATTTCAGTATTATACATCACTGGAGGGCAAAGAACAGCATTATTTTTACATCTGTCTCTCTTTAATAATCATAAGAGCTATTAATTTTTGGTGTAAAGATAAGGAATTCTTAGAACAAGAAAAAAATCTAAGCTTCAGCTACTAAGGAAAAATCAACCATTCATTCTGACTTTTTTGTCTAAATTTTTTTTCCTTAAAAGATGCTAAGCCAAGGATTCCTTGATACATTTATTATAGACACCACCCTTTCTCTAGCTATGTGCAGTGTGAACCTGTCACAGCAGCAAGACTGTTAAGCAGTGAATAGATGAAGTGATGGAAGGGAGTAAATAAGGAAAAAAAAAACAAGGACAGCAAAGCAGAAAGAGAACCACTCTAAGAAGCTATGTGATAGTCAGAAATTGACAGTTCTGAGAAGGGCAAGTAAGCAGTGTAGGAACTTTAATAATGAGAGAAAAAATAAAGGTTTTAACAGAACAGATGAAAGAGAAGGAGAAAAAGGTTGAGTGGGTGGTCATGTCTGTGCAAAAGTTCTAATGAAATGTAAAATAGGATAATAAAGGTCAGACAAAACCTCAGTCAGAAAGTTAAAGTTACTAAAGGTGGTAAACTTGTCAGTAAAGAGGAACAACAGAATTCATGCTGAAAAATAAGATGTTGTGATCAATGGACGAAGCAGATACAAATAAACAGCACAAAGAAGGCCTACGTCATCTTTATAGATTCTGCATTTGCCTGAAGAAATTGTCATAAAGAAAAATACTGATTTAGTATAACAGTTAAACAGCATGAGACACCACTGTTGAGTTTTAGCACAAACTACTTCTTTATTAAGGTTCCAAGTGCTAGGTCAAACATCAAGATTTTTGTTTAAATGAAACCACAAACTGGAATTATCAGAAAATAAAGACCACAGAATTGAGTTTTATTTCTTATTTTCACAGAATTCTCTTCCAATTTGTGGTAGTGTTCATACTTACCTCCTTTCTACTATTTAACTAACGTACGTACACCTAGTTTTTGGCTGATTTTGATTTTTTGATTTAGCAAATTAATTCATTTTCTTACCTCCAATTCCTTTCTTGGAGAAGAGGATTTACACTGAGTGACAACTCCCTTAGTTTATGACAGCCACTTAAGCATGTAATGACACCTTTAAGGTCTGTATTATAGTAGGAAAGAAAATTAAATATAAATTTGAATGCAGAACCATATTATTTCTCATAAAAACTTTCATGTGAATAAAATGTACCAAAATCACGAAGTACTACAAGCAATTCTGCTACCTACACAGTACAGTTATAATTAATATCTATAATATCCATGTTTGGAAAATATTTATATGTTTTCTGTATAAATGTCTCATAAATAAGTGGGAACGATCAAATTCAAGTAAGTTTACAATTTAATTAAGAAGTTCTTGTTTGGATGGGGTTTTATGTTTTTTATACAACTCACCTGACAAGCAGTTGTTTTTGATATCGAGCTTTTCCAAAGATACAAATGAATTTAAGGGCACAAGCTCAGTTAATCTAAGAACAAAACAGAAGAGTTTTGTTTTTATTTTTTCAATTAAATAAACCAGCAGGTCATAAACACAAAAGCACCAGAATCTTTTAGAGTTATAACAATTTACTTATTTACATAAGAAAATACTCATTTAGCTATCCAAGGTGCTAGAACTAATTACTGAAATTTTAACTTGAAAGCATTTCTTAGTCTTCTCAGTAGCTCAGTTTTTAATATTTACTCATTAATGTTTTGTTTTATCCGGTAAATATTTAATTCTGTTTCTTGCATTTAGTGCTGAGGATCTGAAGTCTTGTAAAATTTACACAACTCAACTGGCTTTTCTTTAGGCACCATAACTAGAATGAAACTAACAGAAGGCCCTCATCCTGGAGAAGAAATAAAACCTGCTTTTCCTCTTTCCTCTTCCTTCATTTCTCATTGCTCAAACTTCTTGTCAGTTTGTTTCTCTTCTCCACTCAGTACACTACTTCCTAGATCCTAAAACTAACATAATTGTAATCATTGTCACAGTTGTATTTCTTAACAGATCAAGGCTGCACTGTCCTGTAATATACTTTTAGTGGTTCCTCTGTCCTACTACTTCTGTAAGACAGTGTCAGATAGGTGCCTATTATACAGACAGTTATGGAATTGCTCTTCTTGAGTAGCAAAGCTTTTCTTGTGCAATAAAGCAGCAAAGCAGTAGTAAAGCCATGACTAAATTCTTATTTGTAGTACTGAAGAGTAAATGTAAGGAAACTGAGCTGACATTCATCTCTACAAAGGACTTTGGACTGTAAGATGTGCATTATCACAGCTACTGAAACATTAGCATCCAATGTTATTCAAGCTTCTTTACTTACAAACTTGCATTGGTGCAACTAAGAATGAATGTTGAATGGTTTGGTCAGCTGCCAGGCTATTTCCAACTATTACCTTTCAGATTAAAAAGTTTATTTTGTTTTATGTTAAATATGGAAGAGGGAATAAAAGTAAAATCCAGATGCAAAAAAAAAAACCCCAGTCTTCAACTAAAACTAGAATGTTTATGTATAAGCACATACCAAATCAACTATACCTTTTTTAAAAAGACACTTTTAGGTAATTTGTTTCATCCCTGTAAGGACAAGGCCTAAGCACAATGACAGAATAGCAACACCAATGGCAATGTGTGCTTAATTTGTGACCGCTAATTTTCATGGAAAGCAGTATTTTCTGAGGGTTACAGTGCCTTTGAAAGCTACAAATCAGAATTCTTCTGGTCAAAAACATGACCATACAAAAAACCGAAACCCACTCACTCCACAAACTTAAAACTGGTCAGAGCCAAAAATGCTTATTTGTTGCTGAAATCTGTGACTATGTTGTGTTTCCAGCACAGGCATTACAACTGAAAGACAGAGCTGGATGTAACTTCAGTACACAAATCCTGGACCAAATGTTGGTGTAGATTTTTTAATCTTACTGAAAATTTGACCCTATGCAAAACAGAAAAAAAATAATTTCCACGTTTAGTTGACAAGTATTTCTATATGACAACTTAACATTTTAATATTAAATTCAGAGAAACAGATATAAACCAGTTGAGTATGTGCCACTATACTTCCATTTCTTTCTCAAACCATATTGTAAAGTTATCCTGGTTCTAGTCCTATTTAGTTCTATTACCTCCCTGCCAGTTCTCCATGGAATCAAATAAATACCAAGAAGTATTAACTCTAAAAAGCATTCAGCCTTATATGTAGATCTGTACATAGTACTACAAATATCAGCATTTTAGGTTCTCATGACTAGTCAATAGTACATAAATATATTTAATATTTGTAACAAATTTCATCATAGGTATTAGTGGCTAACAGTATGGCTGCAAAGACTGAAAATCCATGATTCAGATTATAGATTCACATATTCAGAAATATCCAGGAAAATAAACATTGTACTTTGCACAAGGGATGAAAGATAATGCAGTATTTTTTTATTTATAGTGAGTGAGTTCTGTGGATCTTTATCAGTATATGCTGTGGTGAATTAGAAATTGTCTACTGGACTATCTTTGCCTGCCGTTGGCATTATGAGAGTTAAAATGTTTCCTCGTCATTCTATAGCTTTCCCTTTACTGACATTCTTTGTTAATTTTTTTCCTAAGAAAATTCAAACCAGAAAGACAAAGGACATTACTGAAAACTTAATACTACTTGACCTTGTCACATTAGCCCTGGGCATAAGAGAGATATAAATTACAAAGAAGACACAAAAGTAAAAGATATTCACAAAAAAGCAAGCTATAGCTTCCTCTTTCTGCTCCCATTTAAGGCTGTAGCAGGACAGAACACAGATAGCCACAGAAACTCTATGTCAGAAAACAAGATTTAAGAGACTAGTTGCAAGTATGCATCAGAGAAAACAAAGTTTGCTTTTCTGAACACTAATAGCAGTTACTGCTCAGGATGGTCCAAATCCTGCTGTGCATCTGCTTTTCTCGAGAAAAAACAGCACTGATGTTAACGAGACGTTAGCAGGAAGGTGCAAAATAATTAAAAATAAATTTATATTAATACAGGTCCTTAAGTAAAGCCTATATTTCTTTTCCACTCTTTAAAAATAAAAATATTTGTTTGCAATATTCACCATATTTATAAGTAGTAATCCAGTATAATGTAGGAAATCTGTCAGTTAGCCACTTGTTTCTTGAATACTCTGGTAGGTAGTACTTCAACTGTATTGCCCATGGTGCCACATACTTAGAGATAAACTTACCGCCAGCAAAGAATTACTGCAAGTGATCAAAAAGATCTAGACTGGTAAGGATGGGATGAGGAAAACCACTACACATAAGTACAGCTTTTTCATGACTGACTTATTTCAACATCCAATGACATTTAGATTTATTATGACAGCTCTGGAAAAGTGGTCAAATTCTCAGAACATGATGGCTTGCAATGACAGTGAGTTCAACATCTGAGAAATTAGGTTAAAAACATAGATACCATGTATATTTAAGTAGGGAGAACAATACATACTAAGAAACAATTGAGCTTACTTTTTAGCATTTCTATTATAAGCCTTTTAGGAATAGTATGCATCTAGTTGCAAAAACATGGGAGCAACATGTTCACAAAGAGCTTGATTCTGGCCAAAACAGTTTCCCCCCAAAAACCGGGAATTTTTACAGATGACTGCATTTTTTTAAATATTAAATTTTTATCTATCACACTTAGTTTCTCTTAATGAAAAACAAGAGATAGCAAAAAAAATAACTTTGCCATATTAATGTCACATTAAAACAGAAGTTTTAAGAGGGATAGATTTGTCTATTTTAAAGTTGGGTAAAAAAAAAAAGTAATGGCTACCTGAACAGCAGATTGATTTAGTGTCTCACTGTAAAACTTTTAAATGAAAAAGACATTAACAAGTAAGCTACTTAATTAAGTGGGATTACAAGTAAATAAAAATACCACATGAACTTCTAACACATATTAAATATGTTTTAATTTTAGTCCCAGGGGAAAGGTTTTTCTCCCCTACACCTAAATCTTTATACACAACAGAAGAAAAAACTAAATGTGCCTTTTTTAAACTAACTTAACAGTTGTGTTCTCCTCTGCTATAAAATAGAGCATAGATCTTCATAGTCCCAATTCTACAGTAAGCAAGTCAAGATGACATTCATCATTGGCTTTTGTCAATTGCACATTGACCGAGTATATGCTTTGTATGAGAAAGCCACAACAAAACACTTAATAAAAGCAGTAGCAGTGAAATAGCTGCCATTTTCGTATTTGAAGGAGTTAATCACTACCTGTTATATTATAATACCTTGTTGCTAGATTGTAGGTTTAAAACAATTTTTTGAGTTTTATCTTTGGCAATTTCTGGTTTATGGTACAGACAAAGCATCTCAGGAATAAAAAAATCCTGTAAATTAGTGTAAGAATTTTCTTTTCACAGACCTTCACTTTTAGAAAGAATACAGATTCACAGCATTACCTTTATATGGGCTTCCTGCAATCAGTAAAAAGGAAATGGCACTCAGTGCACACTTGAAAAAAATTCATAAAATTGCACTAGGTGTAGGATAAAAGTAAAGAAACAGCTTTTCTTTCAACAGCTTACTCCATTACATTCACTGTTTCTATAGAACATCGAGTTACTTACGCTGTAGCACACACATATGGAGCTGCTTATAAGTGTACATAAAGTGAGTGTAACAGAGCAGGCTACTGAAATGCCCGGAATTTTGAGGTTTTTAAAATGCATTTAAGGCTACCTTGTCCTGTTTGTCACAAAGATTTGAGATAAGCTATAGATACATCAAGGAAAGAAAGGGAATTGTTTGGGAAGGAGGTGTGTGTTTATTTTCAGCATATCCAGTTTGCTGATGCAAAAATACGTGCTTTCTCCCAATCCAGCAGAAGAAACTCAGTGGACAAAACACTGCATCTCAGCTTGGCCACTGGAAAACCAGAATAAGCACTACAATGGACATTAAAAACTGTAAGATCATGGGACAAGCAAGTGACATAAGGTACATCTGCAAGGCCAGTGCAGCACAACCTATATCCAGAGACTGCATTCAAGCTATGCCTGAAACCATGCTCCTAAGTTTGTTCTCTCCCTAGCAGGCACGAGGTCTTCAAGCAGTTTTGCAAACTTTTTATTACACACAGCATAGCTACACCTTAATGTTAACAAAAAACAAACTGTAGGAAGAGGAGGAAGCTACAAGATGGTGTGTTCCACAAAAAGCTGAACGGGACATGGAGGGGGGCAGGGGCAAGCAAACAACATGAATTAAATCAATACATATGATTCAGAATCTGAGACCTAACAAATAATGCTCTTGTTAGTCACATGTAAGAAGCACTTCCTCCAAACTCCAGAAGAATTGAAAGAACAAAAAAACCCTAAAAGCCCAGCAACTTGAAGATTAGATTCTGTAAATACAACTAGATGTGACATTTACATCCAAGACTTTACATGCATACTACTTCATTAGAGTTGATGTGAAAAGAATCTGAAAAGTTGTATGAAAATATAGGTTGTATATACTCAAATAATATTTATTTTCCATGAAGGACATTCCTTATAATAACAGGACTCAGTCTTACAGATCTTTTCTCCTACAGGCTTCCAGCTACAGTTGAACTCTGCTGAACTAAATGTCACACAGAATGGGAGTCATCTGTTGAAATGTAGACACCTACATGTGAGCTGGTCATCTTGACTCTGTTAATAGCCAATGAAGATGAACAGGCACTTGTAGGGTATGATTAATCTCAAAGCAAACAGCTAAAAATGGCAGAGGAATCACACTCAAAGCATCTCCTCCTCTTCACTAACAGGAGAGTTAGGTGGTTAGTTCTGAGTGTATATTCTGTATATAGCATGTAACAGAGTATATTCTATTTATTTAGTTGAGAACAATCTTATTCAGAGCAAAATGGTCACAGTATAGAAAAATAATTAATTTATACTAAATTAAAATTCATTTTACTACTAACATACTGTAAATTATAACTGTCCCTTATTTTTTTAGCAGAATTTAAATTGAGAAGAAGGGGGTGGGGAAATAAAAATTTTGACTTCTGAGTGTCTGGTCATTCTAATCCTACAGATGTACAGATTAGCTTAGAAAATGAACACAAAGCTAATTACGGAGTACTTGAGTGCATGATCTAGTTTTACACTGCTGGTCTTGATCCTTCTTTTTTATTTTATACCTTTCAAACTGAATCATAGGAGTGCAAAATTAAAGCAAATATGCTTGTTTTGCAGAGCATTAACATATGTATATAAAATAAAAAACAACATTCTCATTTTTCCTTTTTAACTCCAGTAGTTACACTTAGCATAGCCTTCGAAGTCTGCTTTGAATAAGCTAGCTGTGAAATATGAAGTTTGACAGACATACTCTAGAAACAATTGCTAAAGAAAGGAAAAAAAAAGAAACACCATGGTTTTAATAATGCCACGATGCTCAAAAATTGTTGTCATATAACATCTAATAGAAAAAATTACTTGTCATAGTTAATGCTGTTTCAAATTTTCTTAGCTAAAGGTAGCCAATGACATTACTTGTCAAACACATATTTTCAAAGGATATCTGGAAAAGATAGCGATATTTTAACCATACTGAGAATTATACTTTTCAGATAAGTTTTAATGTTAGTAAATTCCTCTGTATCAGTTTTGTAAATGGAAGAGTGTTTCTTGCTTACCTATTTTGAGACAGCAAAATAATCTGCAGTAGAGGCAACCAATAAAAAGAAAGAATTTTCACAGCAGAAATGCTATTGTCATCCAAATACAGTTCTCTTAGGAGAACATGATTTTCCAGCCTTGGAAGCTAAATAGAAAAGAGATGGTTATTTAAAATTAATATAAATTAGAGAAACAACAATGGAGTGCTTACCAGATGCTTTTCATAAATCATTACTAAACACAAGCAAAACCACATTTTGGATACATGCATCATTTCCTTATAATGTATGTACCAGTTGTCACACATAATTTCTACTATCAGGTAGTAAGTATTTTTTAATGTCTTCTACCTAGTCTGAACAGTCAATATACATTTAAAAAAAAAGAGTCAAGAGCCCAAGAGCCACAGACTTACTACTTTATTTATGTAGCTATTTGCTTCTTTTGACAATGGTTTTCCTCTCTCAAATTCATAGCAGAATCATTGTCAGTAAATATGACTAAGTGTACAGTTAGCAAACTACTTTCCTATTTTAAATGCTGCAGCACAAACTTCAACTTTTGGAGGAACAGCATACACCAAATCAGCCTCAACTATTACATATACGTAATGATAATAATATTTTGTTACATTTTAACCAAAGAATCCGCATCATATAATATAAACTGAAGACTAGATGCTATAAACAAAGGAGGGAAACATAATTACTGAGGGGCCAATTTTTCATGGACCTAGGAGCAAGAAAATACTTAACTGCTAGCCATTTGTATCTTTGAAAAATAGGGGGGAAAAAAGAGCATGAAACCTCCCACAGCAAACAAAGAGCACATGATCAGCATTCTGAAAAATATGACTGTTAACAAAGATGTATGCACAACAACCACTGAATTCAAAGCTTTTACCTCCTGGAGGTTATTGCCTTGCAACTTCAGAATTTGAAGTAGTCCACAATTCTCAATGCCTTCAACTTGTGTGAGATGATTAAAAGAGCAGTCTAGGTGAATGAGAGTAGGTGCCTCACAAAGACCTTTTGTGCTGATTAATTGATTATGGTCCACAATTAATTGCTGAAGATTTTTCAATGACTCCAGACCACCTGAAAATTAAAGATTTTAGCTGAATTAAGCCATAATGAAATAAAACCTGTTGGTTTTCAAGTACTAAGAAAACTCCAAACTTCCTATATATCTATATTATCTATAGCAACAATTAATATTAGTCCTCTATAGGTTTAAAAATAATTATTGTATTTTGACCTTATCAAATATACAATGCATACAGTTCACAAATTTCTGATCCTGTTAACCAAGCAATAACAGTTCATAACCCCTTTAGCACTTCTGTTGGAACAGAACATTCTTTCAGTGATAAACTATACTTACGATGCTTTAAGCACTTTATAACTGTTACTCAGAACCTATCAGCTCTATGAAATACTAACAGCCCTCTTAAAAATCACCCCTCAGAACAGAAACACTATTTATGTTTAAAAGTTAATTTTCATTATTTCATTTTAAAGTTTTTTTTTAAGTTATCAGCAAGGTGAGAAAAAATTGCGTTAAAACTTAGGTCAGCACCACCTCGATTATTTAAGTGCATCTTGTTTAAGTAATTATGTTAAAAAATATTTGAATGTATAAACAAAATTTAATGCCTTTAAGTATAAAGCTATACTTCTATAGCCATTACACTCGCAACAAATTTACTCCTGCCACTAGTGTAAAGAGCGAGAATGTGCGCAATCTCTACCCCAAACGGACACAAAGAAAAAGGTTCTTGTCAGCCTCTGTTTCTTTCACAGAATTTTTCCCAAATCTTCCTCTTACAACAGCAAAAATCACACTGTCTTTCCATGGTCTTACACATGCTAGATGTTCTGCAATGGCTTCCTTCCTGGAGCACTGATGCATCTGACTTGCTACAGGTCCAAGCAGTTTTTCTGTACCTCGGTAGTAAAACTCCTTTGAAGGTGCACCCTTTACAAAACATATCTAAAACAAGGAATTTCTGAATTTACTTTTTTCATGTATTCCTCACAGGATTATTTGAGCTAACGCTTTGTCTCATCTTTATCTCACTCAAAACTTCCCAAGTTCCCAAAGGGAAGTTGGGTGAGCTTTGCAGAGGTGAATGTCTTTGTCATTGTCCTCTGAGAATAAACTGGATTATGAGACCAGCGACCAGTTTGCACCATAGATTACTGAGAATACAGAAGAGAAAGAAAAAAATAAAATGAATGATAAGGAGAAAATAAGGAGAAGTAAAAAAATCAAACTACTGCCAAAACTAGCAGTACATTTAAAAAAAACCCAAACAAATATAGGCCTTCGAATCATAGTAATTTAAAAATGGAAAGTACCTAGTTGAAATAACACAATTGCCTGATATTAAAGAGATATCATCCTAAATCTAAAACAAATGTCCCATACTGTAACTTCAAAGCTGTGCTTTGGGAAATAAATATACAAATCTTTAATTATTCTGAAAGAATTTCAAACATGCCCGTGACATACTATCCTGACTGCAAGATCCTGGTCTGTATTTTCTTTTATGCTTGGATAAAAATAAAAAAGGAACCAGCACCATCTAGTGGTCTCAAAACAATTTCATGCCAGACAGTGCTAAAATTAACAGCTTCCAAGATTTCCTCACAAGACCAGGCCTTAAATCCCCACTTTTAATTTACCAGCGTAGCAGTACGGGAAACTTTAAAAGCACTATATTAGTCTGGAGTAGGACAGAGAGGAGAGACTGCACACACAGTAAGAAAAGGCAAGGAATTAATACAGCATCTGGAAATTTCCTATTCTGCATGCTGCACAAAGCACCTTTTTTACATCTCCTTCTCCTCATCTGTCTTGTTTAATTAGACCGAATGTCATTTGGCACAGACATGCCAAGGCTACATACAATGGGATCACAATCTACTCTGAAACTATCAAATGCAGTCCAACAGAAACATGCACAAGAGAGAATAATGTAATACACACAGATGGTATTTCAACGTTTCTTCTGTACACATGCAAAATTAAAAATAAGCATGAAAGTCTTCTGCACATTTCCAGAAGATACTGTCTGGTTTACACATGATGCAACCAACAACAGCTATAGCAGTACAGGAAAATGCATTCTGTTGAAAAACATATGGTTTCAGCAAGATTTGTGGAGAACCTTTATCGAAGTAGCTCTTAGCAATTTGCAAAGTGCACCTGGACTCTGTTAGCTAAGGACTCTATCTTAGCTATCAATGCAGTTCTGAAGTAACTTCTATGTGTGACAAAGATGAATAAGAGAGGAGTGAAAGCTGACAATGAAGATGAAAAAAACACATACAAAAAAACCCCAAACTGAAAGGCGTCTGATAAAAAAACCCTCTTACGTGCTTTCCTAAAAAGAGTGAGTAGGTCCACAGAAGCATTTACAGCTATCCACTGTTACACATTGCTATTCTTAGCACTGCCAGGATTTTAGCCAACATACTATGGCAACAGACACACCCTGCAAAAGCATATTCTACGACTCACGTCAAAATGCTACTTTTTCTGTATGAAAAATTTTAAGTAAAGCATCCATCTTCCAAATACAAACATATGCACTGAACTTCAGTGTATTAGTGGACACAATTACTTAATTTGTGACCATGCATTCTTAAGTGGAAAAGCATAATTGAGACGTATTTCTCATACTTTTGCTGTTATTTTTAAGGGGTTTCTGGCAACTCTCATTTTTTCCCTACTGATGCTGTATTTCAATGAGAGGAGAAAAAAAAGAAATCGTAACATGCTTGAAGTTTCATACAACAAGTTATTAAAACAGAAGTATTACAAACATAAATAAGCCTTACTTCTTAAGAAAAAGCCCACAGCCTTTGTTAAAGTTTAATGAACAGAGAACATTGCACAGTACTGCAGCTTCCCAAATTGCTAAGGGACATCCTGCAAGATTTGCAGATGGGAGGGATACAATAACTTCTTAAAACCCATAAATCCATTTTTGTGTATTCTATATGACTACTTGCAACCAATATGTTACTGTATGAAATAAATCCTGTATTATGCATGTTTTAACCAGACATCCTCAAAGCAATTCTGGAGAGGAGAAAGACAGATCCCAAGCTGATTTTTGTGAACATTTATTTACCCACTCAAATTCATTAGAGACTCAGTGAACATAGCACCACACTGCACAAAAAAAGAAAGTACAAGAGGATTTTACTCCACTTGGCCTGTACAAAGATACTACATTCGACAGAGATGCCACATTTCTAGATGTCATCCACTAATACTATGTCATTCTTACAGTAATCTTGCAGACATTTTTATCAAATGAGATAAATCTGTGTCCTGGTTTCGGCTGGGATAGAGTTAATTTTCTTCCTAGCAGCAGGCATAGTGCTGTGTTTTGGATTTAGTAGGAGAAGAATGTTGATAACACACTGATGTTTTAGTTGTTGCTGAGTACTGCTTATGCTAGTCAAGGACTTTTTCAGCTTCCCATGCTCTGCCAGGCGCACAAGAAACTGGGAGGGGGCACAGCCAGAATAGTTGATCCAAACTGCCCAAAGGGCTATTCCATACCATATGACGTCATGCTCAGTATATAAACTGGGGGGGGGTGGCCGGGGAGCAGCGATCGCTGCTCGGGAACTGTCTGGGTATCGGTCGGCGGGTGGTGAGCAATTGCATTGTGCATCACTTGCTTCGTGTATCATTATTATTATTATCATTATTATACTGTTACTATTAGCATTACTATTTTACTTTATTTAAATTATTAAACTGTTCTTATCTCAACCCAGGAGTGTTTCTCACTCTTAGTCCTCCGATTCTCTCCCCCATCCCATCGGGGTAGGGGGAGTGAGCGAGCGGCTGCGTGGTACTGAGCTGCTGGCTGGGGCTAAACCACGACAATCTGAATAAGAATCTTATCCAGCATTATTGGCCACGAGGATATAGATGAAGCTTCTTTAACCAGTTTATTTTATTGTTTCTCATTAGGGTACTGACAGGCTTTTATAGTAAACATTGTCATTCCAGCACCTTTATTCTCAGGTATTATAAACTCCATTCACAAATACTAACATTCCAAGTTTGCACATATTAGCAAAAAATATTAAAAATATCAACATTAACCCCCTAAATCTACAGGTTTTTTTTAAGCTTTCCCACTTCTTGTTTGCTATGTCCTTGTTACTTATCATGGAATTGCATTATACATGTTCATTCTGTTTCAGTCTTTTTTTTTTAACAGTGGAAACCATTTCTTTATATAAATGTCTTATGTCAATGTGTTTCATCCATCAGCTTAATAATTGTTTTATATTATTTTCCTGCTGGACAGCAGGAAAATAAGGTATGTCCACATACTTTAAAGAAAATTAAAAATCTAAATCAAGACAAATAAAATCAAAATCAAAATCTCCTTATCTCCTTTCCATTCCCAGTTTTGCAGTCTGTCCAAGTAACATCTTCAGATTTAGCACAGACTAAGAATACAACTAGAAAGTCACCTTTTCAGGTTTCATGTTTCAATTTCCACAAAATTAATTACTTCATCACATGCAATGTTTTTTCTTGATGATATGATTTTATTTCAATGGACAAATCTCTGAAGAATCATCTCTGTTAAGATTATAATACTGAAGTTACACAGTCACCCATATTTTGGTGGCCTTTACAAATTTCACAGTCTGACATGCACCAAAATCCAAGTTCCTAGAGTATAGGGAGGCTGTTAAATCTAGTTCTGTTCTATCTGCTGTCCTGCCGCCTTGAAGGAAATTTGCTACTTTCAAGCCCTGAGAGCTCCCAGTCAAGTAATGATCTGTCAATTTACTACTACCTTTTCTCAATGGTTAATGTTACTTTTGAGGGACCACTAATGGTCTTCCCTCTGTACGTGAATCTACAACCAAAAAACTGGCTTCTCCAATTACATATAGCAAAGCTCTTGGTTATTTTCACTGCACTACACCTTCCTGACCCTTTGCCAGTTCAAAAAGGCTCTGAATCCTGATTACCTCTATACGAAATCTACGTAACACAAGGCTCACAATGCCCTATTTTTGGCTTGTCAGAAGCTGAGACACAATATCTACCCCTTAGGCACTTTACAGTGGCAGTACAAGCAGAGAGGCAGTACAGGCAGAGGCAAACACTCGTTCACTACATGAAAAATTCCTGTCTGGCCAACAGAAAACATCTATCTCCTGGCACAAAGATTTCATGTATTGATGCATCTGTTGAGTGGTCTGGGTGTATGTAAATTCTGTTTGACTGCATGCTAGAAGTACACCTGCTGCCTGCCAACTGTTGGACCTAACAAATACAACAAACTGCCTTTGTAAATACAATAGGAGTTGGCACATCTGCTGACCTAAATGATTTGCATGATTTTACCTTAGACTCATTGTTTTTTTTTTTCCAGCTTTGGTGCAATGAGCAGCAATGAAGAGCCAGAGTGGGAGGGAAGTCTAGAACAATAGTTTGGAGCCAGAATGGGGAGCATTTTAGTAGAAAGAGAGGCTGTGGTCCAGTGCTAGCACGGTTCACAACTGAGTTAGTGCAGGTAATAATAGGGGCCCCTCTAGAAAGATTTTTAGTTCTTTTTGGCTGACAACAGTTATATGATCTGGCAGATGGAATACCTGGCAGTAGCTAAGCCATACTACAAATAAATGTGAAGTTGAGTATGCTTTAAAATGCATGTGTGTTCTAAGTCTGTTTCCTCATTCTCCTTGGGCTTAACAGCTGGCTGGTCCTGAATCCAAGGCAAGTATAATTCTGAATATAAACAGCACAAATATTGTTATACAAATTGGAATATTTTTTCATTAATTTTCTTACCAATTCGGGTGATTTTATTGTAGGAAAGTTCAAGATTTTGGAGATTTATGCAGCCATCTAAGCCACAAACTGATGAAAGATGGTTCTGATTCAGAATCAGAATACAGAGATTTTCTAGATTTTCACAGTCAATTATCTGAATGTTGTTTTCCTGCAACAAAGGAAAATTAAGAATATTAAATAGCGTCTGAAGTGAAATAGCAGAATTAAGTGTAAAAATATGGTAGATTTTCATCATTGCTTATTTTTATCCTAAACTTCTAGCTAGGAGTAAAGGCATCTCTATTTTTTCCATTAGGACAATAAATTGATGAGTCATAGAAACTGCTTTTTGTTTCCTGCTGGGATAGAACAAAAATGTATCTCAAACTTCATTCTGGCTCTGAAAATGCCCAGAAGTTGCAACAAAAAGTGTAAGGAGAAGTTAAGGACAGAGCGGTCTTTTCCATACACGCTTTCCTAGCTTCCCAAATCCTGGGAGACTGAACTAAAAACTGCACCGAAACCATCATATTTACTAGACACTAATGAAGACAGCTATGACTTTGCTGGAATCCTATTTACTAATAGTGAAAATCTGCATTTAGGGGTATTTTGGTCACAAACATTAACACTGTTCTCAGCTAATGTTCTTCCCCCAAGAGATCTTGCTCTTTTAATGGCTCCCCAGGCCATTTTAATAATGCTTCCTCAGACTTTTATTTCACTATTTGCTGCCCTTGCTGTTTTCTTCTGTTTTTCACCTGCAGATGCTCAAACAAGCAAAACTTAAACTCCCTGCCTTTGTAACAAACTGATTAAGCCAAATAGTCTAATTCCTATTGCAGAATTAACATGCTGACTAAATTTATGTGCTACCTTCAGCCGCAGGCAGGAAT